CCTAAATATTATTCTAAATATTATTTTCGTATTTTATCAACTTTTATCTCATTAACATTATTTGAAATATTATTTTCGATTTTTATCAAATTTTTATCTTCTAACTATTATTTTAAATTTTATTTTCGATTTTTATCAGATTTTTATCTTTTAAATATTATTTTTTGATTTTTTTATCAAAATTTTATCTCCTAAATATTATTTTAAATATTATTATCGATTTTCATCAAATTCTCCTAGATATTATTTATAATAATCTGATTTTCGTTTTTTACAGAAAAGGGTAAATAGATCTGATTTTCATCCCTAGCGAATTTTGTGACATCGTTTTACATAATGTCTGCAACATTTGAATTTTATTTCTTCCCTACCTAAGGCCTCTTCTTTTGGTAACCCGACTTTAGATTTTGTTTTTTATCTTCTTCAACCTATTGACTGTGTGGCAATTAGTTTACATCTTTTTCCATCATGGCTTATCGGTAATTTCATTTTGTTAAATTATGTGTTTCATTAATTTATACCAAAGTTTTCAAAATTTATGTATAACAATTATTTCATTTTATATGTTATTGGACATGTTATTGAAATGGATGATTTGAGAGAATTAACCAAAAATGGGCGGAGCCACAAGCTATTGGAAGTCGACCTTCAAGACTTATTGTTTGTATGCGATATTTAATTTATTGTTTATATTTATTTTTGTTTCTTAATTTTCCAGTTGTTAATTCCAGTGGCAAAACAGCCTGAAAATGAGGCAGTGGAGAAGGGCTTAGTTCCGATGCAAGATGTATAGATGGCCTTTTATGTTGTCGATAGTTTAGTTTTGATTATGTTAACTAAGTTATTAAATCTAATTACTTTTAAGCTCAACATGAAAGACATAGTTGATGATTTTTTTCCTGGTTCAAATTTTCAATCTACTGGTATTAGCTGATTCAATTCATTTGGAAAATTATTCAATAGTAAAGTTATTTCCTTTTTTTTGTGTGTAGTATACTTAATGATGTTCCAGTATAATAGAATTTTGATCATACGATACATCAAACGTTTGTTTATATTCTTACAACATCAAAACAATGCAATTTGTTGTCCCGTGCATCGCACGAGTACAATTACTAGTACATATAATATTATAAAACATTGCAATTCATAAATAATCCATCTTCTTAGTAAATATTGAATCGTGAAGTTAAATCGTAAGAGTTCGTTTACTGTAGCACGACGTCCTTCTTGCTAAAAAAATCATTGAAATGCTCAAATGAATTTTCAATATTTTTTAACACTCATGTATAGTATAACATACATTTATCTGAAATTGTTAAATATCGTTTCAATTTTACTAATGTCGTTTTGACTTCGAACCTAATTTTGACATATTTCTATTTTGATTTTGGCAAAATTCGAAACACGAAAACTGTAGTCCTTTGGGTTAGCTTTCTAATCCAACTTAAATCCGCTTGATTGGATGCTGTGTGACAAAGTTATGCATAAATGATTCACATTTTAAATTTTAGATACCTCAATAGATCAAAGTTGTGGACAATATCCATTGATTCATGTATATCTTTCTCGTCCAACATCCAATTTTAGTGATTCAAGTTGGATTAGAAAACTAACTCGGAATACTACAAATTATATTTTTCGGGTTTTGCAAAATTTGGAATTAAAAATGATCAAAATCACGTTTGAAGTCGAAACGGTATTATTAAAGCTCGAACGACATTTATCACATCCCTACATTTATTCATATGTAGTCATGAATTATAAAATATACGGTAGGAAGAGCAAATCAGCTAAATGCTAGACCCGGTGAAATAAATTAGCAGATCAAAATGTGTTTATAAACACTCACAAAGCAAATACATATCAATAAATACAAGCCCCACACCCCCTGATTAAATAGTTTGTACAAGTTTTAATTATAAATTTGATTTAATTTCTAGGACCAAGAAAATAAATTCTATTTCGCTACACTTATAAAAACTAAATGCGGAGAAAACGAAACTGGGCCAAAACAGCTTATGTGAACAACTAATCAACTGTTCATATTTACCTATTTACTTCATCACACAAACAACGAGCTGAGCCGAGCCGCCAGCTTTGCACTCTTGTAGTCGTCTCTGAGCTGAATAAACCTGATTTTGCAGCCAATTCAAAATTGTCATTACACGAACAACCACAATGAGAAAAAAAAATAATGGAAGAAAATAAAATCGAGAATCATTGTACTTTTGAGCGTCTTTTCTGATGCTTGGTGTTCCCTCGAATAAAGATGACAGACTTTCAGGAGCAACAATAAAGACATTGGCCATGCTGAAGAGAAATTATGGCAGTTAATCAAGAAAAAATAGTAGTTAGTTCGAGTTTTGTTTCCTTGAACGAGGTTGGATAAGAAAAATAAGTGAACACAAAAAAAAAACGAAGTTTTACTTACATGCCAAGCAACTCAAACTTCTCATCCACCGTTGGAGCATTAAAACTGCGAACAAATTCTCCGTACTCCGTTATATCACGCTTAAGCCGCAACCCTCCGCTGTAGATGCCACATAAAATATAATATATATAACTTTATTTAATTAAAAAAAAAAAAAAGTTTACACTCAAGTAACGCCTCTGAGTGGAAACTTTAACATAGGATCAAGAATTACCTTGGATTAAAAGTGAATTTCTGCCAATGACTCAGTAGCCCCTTATGCAAGCGATTTCCCTGAAACGGTTCGATGATTAAAGTTACCATTTCAAATACCCATTAATGATAAAACTTGAGAATGTCCAACGACACTGGAACTTTCCATTTCAATCATTTAGCTCAAGTGTCGAATGGGTCAACAAAGCTTCAAGTATAGACAACTAAGGTTTTCTGGTCAACAGTGTTGCCCGTTTCGCCTCTTGTACACAGTTCAGAAAATAAAAAATAACCTTCACACTGATTATGTATAACCTAGAACTTCATATTTTCCAAGTTATACCCTAGAAAAATGAATGAAACTAACTAATAATAGTAAAAGTGAAACTTTGAAAGATTTAAAATTAGTTAAAGCAATCACTCCTAAACGTCAGCTTTACAATTACAACCTTATACTGCATAAAAGAAAATATAATTACCAGTTCAGTAAGGAATGCTTGCTTGTTAAGACCTTCAAGCGCTGTGAAGGCAGACTCAAGCACACGGGAAAGATAAGCAACAACCCTATATAAGAAATGAGTTGAAAATATACGGTAAACTGGAACATGATCAAATAGGATAAAGGAAACAAAATATATCCACAATTGAAAATCCAGAAATTGTATTGAATGATGATCCATGAAACATGCCAAAATAAGGAAACAAAATTTTATTCATTAAGATTATTAATCTTCAAATTAAAGTTTCACAGGCTATAAACATCATTGGAATTTCATACCTTGTGCAGGCAGTAGTCGGTCGGTGATCAGGAGCTATGCCATCGTCAGGGGACCGATAATCTGTTGCTTTTTGTTCAGCTGATAGCAGTCGCTCAACCTTCAAAAAATCAAGAACCAAAGTATAAATGTGGGAGAATAGCAAGAGACATAAAATATATATATATATATATATATATATATATATATATATATATATATATATATATATATTCAAGAAGCACAGAAATTAAAAAATAGGGAGAAATGTTAATTAGAAACCTCAGCCATCACTGTTTCAATGCACTGTTGAAGCCCCTTATAAGCAGCACCTTCTGCACTGGACATAGCTGTGGCCATTTCTTCACAGGAAGCAGCATGTGCACCCTCGACAGGTAGTAAAAGTCGAGAAATGGAGTTTGCAAAGTACTGCAGATTCAGAGTTAGTTACTAATGAAATATATCACAATTCAAATATCCACATCACCAGAACAGAGTAAATTGACATACTTGCTGAACAATAGCTACACTACTTCCACAACGCTGTACAGCAACCATAAACGATCTGAAACTGTTTTCACCTGCTGCAGCAGCAGCTTCTGCCTGCGTACGATAATCGAACTGGCAGTAAATGTAAAGTAAAAGAAGGTGAAATAAAAACAAAATAAATCAAGTGATAAAGTGCTTACTGCTGAAGCAGCTGCAGCTGCAACTCTTCGACTAACACTAGTTCCCAAAACAAACCGTTCCCTCAACGCTGCAGCTTCAGTCAGGCTTTCTCGGGCTCTTTCCAGACCTTCTGTTATATATAGACTGACCTGAAATAAGTGAAGGGATGAAAATGGGACACAAAGTAATAGTTATTAGAAATACTATAAGAAGAGAAGTGCCCAGGCTATGGAAAGAGTCTGCTTAATTTACCTGGTCCAAAAGGCAAGTGAAAACAGCCCGCACATTACCGGCAATTGTCACTGGCTGCAATGACAAGAGAATATTCATTAAGTTAAAGAACCTAAACAAAATAACAACGAACTCAAATTAACAATTGATAGCCAAAATAAATATCACTTTAAAGGAAACTCTTTAGGAGATTGAAATTAATCCGAGAAAATTATAATTGTATCTAGTACATATTTTTCTCTTTCTGGTTGTTAAATAAAACCGAAGTCAACAGAAAATAACTGAACTTCATCACGGTTGTCCAGGTCTATAGGTTAACCAATTATCCAGATTCCAGACCAAATAAACTATTTTGAAAATCATGTCATCTTATTCGACCTGAATTGATTTGCTAACTGTTAACATTCCACTAGTTTTTAGCCTGAGTTTGTCATAAAATTCTCAAAATACCGAACACGGAAAAAACACACAAACCTGTGATGAAAACAAAGTAGATCTAGATACAGCTTCCTCATTCCAACGTACAAACTCTGTCACCACAGTAACAGATATCTGCTGCTGGGAAGATGATATGGTAGCTCCTTTAGAGCGTCCAATTGTCCCTGATGATTCAGAGGATTGCTGGCTTTCAGCCCGTAGTTCCTCCATCTGATTAATAGGCAGATATTTAGTTGAAATAGAATTCATCGAAGGGAATTCGTTATATTAATTCTATTCAGTAAAAGCTACCAGGCTAGAGTGCACAAGAGGATGGAGGAATGGAGATCAATAGTTTATGACGCACCTTTGATTTATACAGTTGCCTGAGAGATGCCTGCTCATACTCTATGTATATATCTTTATGCGGTAGGAACAGAGACTCCGTTAAGCCTGAACAACAGATAAAAGAAACATACACGTAAGTTGCGTGCACTTGCTCAGAAAATATAAAATATTCCAAAAGTAATTGATTCTTATGTTTCCAAATGACCATAAAGATTCCAATGCTACTGCCTAGAGATCTTATTTAATGGGGTTTATGATTGTCATGTTTTCTTTGCTTGAGAAACACCCACTATTCAGTCAGTTTCTATCTATCTTTTCTTTTTCAATGATAAGTTCTACAATTTCGTGTCCCTTTCTCAAGTATTTCAATAATAACTTTTTTTACTTACTAAAATGTGGAAAGTGAGAGGGAATTGAAGCAGATCAATCAGCAGGCAGATCAACTCAATTTTATACATCATGAGAATTGAGAACAAATTATTGTCAATTGAATATACTGAACAAAGCATCACATCACAATAAAAATAAGTTGCCAGATCAGATAATAAAACCATTGACTTAGAGAAGTATTAGCAACAAATTCCATATCTACCTTCAACATCCAAGTCACCGCACCCCACGCTATGTAAATCTCTAGCAAGATCCTGTGTCTTCTCATATGCCACTGCCAGCATTCTCAGATACTGTGGATAATAAATGAAAGGTGGGTTAACATCCCTAAATAGATGACTCGCAAAAGTAATTAGAAGCTGCAGATGGAACTCACTAATATAAGTCCGCCTTCTTCCATGGAAGGTGGATTAAGTAGAGACGGTTTTACCAATAGCTTCTCAAGAAGTTTAGGAATGCGGTCTTCCAAAACACGCTGAACAAACAAAATCATAAAAATAAGTATATACAATACACCCACCAAATATCTTATGCTTTAAAGTCTATTTGAACACAGTTATGTGAGAACAATAAAAAAAAAGCTTGAAGGGCATGGAGAGGTATATATTAATCAACTGCATTCGGCTTCTTTTGAGAAAATTCACAAAAGTAAAGTCATTTCAGTGACCAGGATTATTCTTTATTTTCTTGCTTTGTATTCTATTAGCCATTCTAATTTCTTCAAGTAAGCTGAGATTAGCAAAGACATGTTATCTGCACGATGTGTGAGTCCATGAGAATAATCTCCAGACTCTTCTTTTCCGAAATAGAAAGGCCATGGTTGGAGTATATCAATATAGGTCATGAATATATACTATCGTCATTACTGTCAGATCATACTTTGTTCTTCCAACAATCATCTTAATGTTTGGCCCTGCAGCTGAACAACCTATATATCTCCCAACCGGTCTTCCTACATCAGGTTTGATTGGTCTATTTGAAACAAGCCAAAAATGACGAACAGTGCATTCTATTTAAAGCTTATGTACATGCAATTCCAACACAATGATCATGCAGGAATACCTGAACCAAGATTGACATGACATCATTTGGTGAAGGGAATACTGCTGTTATTGTTGCTGCTTCTTTCCGCACAGTATCTGCAAGACAGTGGGACTGAATTAGAGGAACGCTTCAAAGCCTGAAAGTTTATCGTATTAGTAGAATGATTCAAACCTGTGATCTCTTTGTATAATGCAGAGAGTCCACGTGAAACATTGCTAGGACTAGGTTGAGAACCGGGGTCACCAAGAACCAATCGGGCGTCGTCATTCATGACCTCCAAATCAAACATTGGGCGTAAGCCCACATAGTGTTGCATAGCACTGGTACCCCTGTTGAACTGATTCCCGAAACTAATAATTAAATGGTCGGGCCGATTTATTTCATAAATATGATCAAAATATTTAGTAATTTTACCAGACATAATCATAGCTAGATACTCTGCCATATAAAAATTAAGAAACAATACCTGCGACAAAATTTTTGCACATTCTGCCATTGTAGATAATTCCCGTTTTTGTGATGCTGCATCAAATCTGGACAACAATCTGTTTTCCAGTTCTACATGTGCGTTTAAAAACAGAAGCAATTATATTTGACAATAAATTATGTAATCAAAATTGTAAAAAGGAAACAAGATGAAATGCAACGGGAACCCTTCAGTCAACTAATTTCCAAATGCAATTCTTTCTAAAAATAAAAATATAACTTTTTATATCATCTTACATCGTGTTGCTTATCCACTTAGGTACATAGTAGTTACTTAGTAATTGCTACATAAGAGATTATAATAACAAGAAAGAAAATTCTTAAAAAGGATTCCACAATAAAAAAGACCTCGGAATATAAATAAATTCACATAAGAAGGAATATCTGTATGACGTAAATGAGAATTAAAGTTGTATACAGAATAGTAGATCATTTCTTAAGGTCTAAATAGGGGAATATAACAAGGTAAATGACTCGTTCACTTGAGCAAATATTTTAATCATGGGATCAAATACATGGGTCCTTATTCAAGTAACTGAAACAAAACTCATTCAGGACTGTTAAAAAGCTAATGAGTTCTTGAGGGTTTTTAACATAATGTACTGATGGTGAAGTCATAAATAAGACATTGAACACAATACCATTGCAGTATTCTTGGAGATTTGCAACTGCCACTTCTAATCCTCTGCTTGCAGCTGCATTCCCAATAACTGAGACAGCAATGCCTTGTCTTCCAATATCTTCCTCGGCAAATGATCCTAAAAGCAAGCTTCTCAGTGAACTTTCTCTTGGTATCATATTCAAATAATTCAAAATTGGATTTTTGCTTTATGAGAATGCTCAATTTACAAGCAAATTATTTTTGGACTGTTCCAAAACTTATCAAAAAGCAAAAGTTTGAGCAAAGCGCCGGTAATGAGTGTACAACATCACAACATATTTTTTCGAATATGTATCAAAATTTGACAGAAATACCAAGAATTATAAGAATCTGACAGATATGCAAGGACGAATTCTAATATGTCCATCGGGAAAAATGACACTTACTCAGTTTTTGTGCAATTGAAGCTGCTTCAGCAACCCGACTATCATCAGAGAATAGGGGTGAAAGTTCCATGAGGTCACCCGGACTGCTATTGAACTCCATCAAGTACTGCAGGATATATTCACATAGTGCTAATTAAAGCGCATACTATATAGCTGGTAATATAATGCAGGCACTTATAAAGTATATGCACACCCCCTATCAGATATTCACCTTAATGAGGTCTATAGTCTGACTAGCATGTTTCTCTCTGGGCATCAGCACTCTGACCAAATGAATACAAAAGTTTAAGTCAATGACTGAGTTAGAGGAACAAATTAGCAACTCAAAGATTTTGAATAGCGGCAGGAAGAGAACAGGTAATGAAGTATTATATAAGCTTTACACAAAATTGAATATTTTTACATCAAAGAAATAGCAAACTAAAGGAATATGCAATGAGAAAAAAAAAAAAAAAAAAAAAGAGAAACATGATTCAGAATTTTTAACAAACTTACCTGCAGATGGTCGCCTATCTTAGCAGCAGTTTGGCCAACACTTGATATACGTGAATCCAACCTTGCAAAACTATCAAATAAGCCATCGACACCTTTCTCCAGCTGCATATTATATGGAAAGAACGATATTAGAAGCACATCCTAACGATGCTAAGATATAGCAAAAGATTATGATAAACTATTAATCTAAAGATGACTAACATCCTAACGATGTTAAGATATAGCAAAAGATTATGATAAACTATTAATCTAAAGATGACTAAGGACTTAAAAGGTATAAATATGTAGCCCAGGCTAACTAACCTCAGAAAGTGTTTTCCGGTGCTTAGAATCTTGGGTAGAAACTTCCTTTTTGAGATTGTAGAGCTTCCCATCAATCTTTAAACAAAAATCAACTTAGCTTTTCTTTTTCAATAATCCAGCAAACAGCATAAAACAGAACAAACTATCCTAGAAGCTGTAGATTTACCTGTTTCCTAAGATCAACTAACTGCGTACACGAATTCTTAAACAAAGATAAGAGAGCATCTACTTCAGGAAACAGTGGGCTTGATACGCCTGGCGCTGATTTTCCAGCATCAGGAATTCGTAAATGACCATTCGACATTGCGTCATTTGCACCATGACCTTCGGAAGTATCTGTTTCATCTTCTAAATAAGCAGGCAGCAGCTCATTTACTAAGTTTCCAAACAACGCATCGAATGAAAAGTCACCCTACATGATGATATAAACACAACAAAAATAATTAGTAACATCAAAAAAGTCCAATCAAGGCGCAAACACTCACACACACACACACACACACACACACACACACACACACACACACACACACACACACACACACACACTCAAAATAAATGTTTGCGGCACCACCTTAAAGTCATCAATGTCTAGAACAAGCGGATACGAGTCCGTTGATGGAGATTTAGAAGATCTATCCGTCCTCGTCCGATCTTTAGTCTCTTTCATCTGCCATAAATACCAAAAATCAGCCGTCGTGATGCATAACTTAGCTGATTGACCTTTCTATTAACTTGAGAGTGGGCGTGACTTCTAGGATCAAAGCTAGTGTGGCAATTAAAACCAAAATAACACCAATACAAGACCTGACTATAAAATCAATAAACTGAATCCATGTTAAACATTTAATTGCTAGATATATTAACTCATTCCCAAGAATTGCTGTCTTGTTGCCGCTTAACCGTAATGTGAGAATAACTAGATGCCAAAATTAACTTAAAAATAAATGAAACTTGAAAAAGAAATGACCTCTATTCTCTACGACTAAATTGATTATCATAAAAAACGCAACTACTGATCTTGACATTGGAGAACTTTCACGGGCTCGACGTCGCGAGTAGTTAAGTTTTCCTTTTATACACTCTGAGTTGTAATTTCGTAAAATATATGTGCAAATGTACACCCAAAATTATAGTAAATTATAATTATCCTGAAGAAATACCCCCAGTTTTCACCTACATGAATGGCAACATAAATCAACAATATATATTTCCTAATATTAAACGAATGCAATTATCAGGAATAAAAAAAGAAGAAGATCATAAACAGATAAACAGAAAGACTAAACAAATTTAAGAAACAACGGTGAATACAGCAAAATCAATCCAGTAAAATCATCAATTTGGCTCACTTATTCATCGAATTAGGAATCCAAATAATCACCAATGTTGTGGCAGAAAATGACTGATTAATTACTCCGCAAACTATCAACAAAAACTCCACACGAAAAAAAAACGCAGAAACCGAAAATTTACCTCGGTGGAAACGACGACCAGCAGCGGCGTTGAAGCGGCGGTTCTTCGCAGTAAAGATACAAAATCGGAGCGAGAAAGAATTTACGACTGATTTTAGAGAGAGAGAGAGGGCAAAAGCTTTGTACAGATCGCAAAATGAAAATAATCTCACAAAACAAAGGAAAATGTGAAAAGGAAATTCACCGCAAGCAATTATCTGTAGACTGTAGTTAAATTAGTTTCCAAACAACACCATTTACTTTTTACCAGAGAGAAGCAGATCGTCGTCGTACTAGGAAAGTATTCGAATATTAGTAATTCCGACCCATGAACTTTCTTTATTTATAAATTTAGTACATAAAGTTTTTAAAATTGCTACATCAATACTTTTGTTTTTCTTTTTCCTTTTTTAATTTTTTTTGGTTGAATTTTCTTCCAACTATTATTTATCCCCATTTAATTTAAATAATATTTCGATAATTTTATATTTTGCTAAATTAATAAAATTTTACTAGTACCATCTGTATTAATTTATAGAGGTTCAACTATAATTTGTTTAGATATTTAAATTATATAGTAGTAATTAATATATACTCATTAATAAATTATTTGAAATGTTTTAATCAAATCTTCTCATTAATGATCATTTTCAAACCCTTCACTTCAATTACAACCTCTGGGAACCAAAGCAAAGACACAAAAACTCCCCTTGTTATTTAAATAATTGGATCCAAAAAAACAAACCCGGTTATGAACATCACGAATCGGAGCAGACGATCGACAAAAAAATAAAAATAATAACAATAATATTTAAAGCAGATTATAAACGTCTCAAAACAGATTACGAACGTCTCGAAGGGTATGCATTACAGTTGAGTAGGAGTTTGATTAGCAGAGTGTACAACTCCACACCCATCCCACCCCCTTTCTTCTACATTATCACCAGAAAATACAAATCGGAGAAAAAAACTCCGTTCACTAGCAGATTCACATAATTTTTTTTTTATATAAAAAAACAGCAACAAATTCATCGATTTTTCACTGGGTTAGTAACTTTGAGTCGCATGCTACAATCTTGACAGAATCCACAGTTTCTTGGCCTTCCTCACTCTTAAGCTGAGCATTTTGTAATATGAAGGTCCAGACGTTGTCACAGAATCGGTATGTATGAAGATGCCCCTGTAAAAAGAATCGTTCGGAGAAAACAGAAAGCAAAAAATATACATTATTCATTGTCGATATCCATCGATTTAAAACTGGTAAAACTAAATTCGAAAGCAATTTATGAGGTCAAATAAGTCAGGATATAAGTATAAAATGTGGAGTTCAACAAGGAAAAAAACACGTAAACTATAAGTCTCTACAGTATAACGTAATACAATTATTTGTCGGCTTTAATTGCTCGATTTAGATTATAATAATCTGAAAAGAAGCCATGTCACGTGTAGTGAGATTGCGACTACATGCATCTCTACAACTAGTAATAATTTTGTCATTTATATGTTATCCCGACCTACAAATCCTTCAATTTATTTTCTCATTACCCGTCACGACTTACGTGTCCGTCCACGTGTTAGTTATATACTTTTGGTCATAATGACAAAGATCCGCATAAAAATAAGCAATCAATTAATTATCAGTTTCGAACTACAGATATCTAACACTACGACGCTGAAAATACACATGGACATGCAATTAAGGCAAGCAAGATATCCAAAAAGTCAACTCCCCCGTTTCGTAAGACAACTTTTAGAAATCATTGTCACCAAAAAAAATGTTCTCGTGTATTAGTTTCATAGTATTCAGAAAATAGAAAATATAGATATTTTATTTTCATTTGGGATACAAAAAAGAACTAACCTGTCATTCAATACCATTACACTGAGTTAAAGTATAGTAGTTTCTAGTTAGAAATGGAACATTTTTTCGAAACATTTTACTATTATGAATAATCAGAAGTCCGCTTCATGAATCATCAACACCCCGATTTTCAATCATACCAAACAAATACATTAGAAAAAAAAATCGAAATCCATAGAAGAAACATTAGAGGCACTAACACATGCAGGACTTAAACATTATCCTTTATCGTAAAATGAAAAACCAATGTTTACCTTAATGGAAACCTTGCTCTTCACCTCACTTTCTAGAGCTTCAGTCATCGACTGCAGACCAAGGAAGCAACATTAAAAAAAGATGGTATTAGTGGAGAAACATGCATGCAGTTAATATACGAGAGCCGCCACACAATCATGAATTTTCGATCCTATTCTTTGTATATTAATTGTTCGGATTTCGATACAGATAGTGGAACGACTTTAAATAGTTCTTACTCCAAACAATCTCTAATCTCCCATGCACGTTTTACCGTTTGGATATTAAATTTGAACGAAGGCGGACATTGAAGAACATTTGTTACTGATGGACACACACACACACGCATTTTCGTTACTCCTTTGCTTACATTTAAAAGGTATAAACGAAACATAGCACCGAAACAACAAGGGTAATAGCGAAATTTGTGTTTGCTTTGTCATTATCATTTATCTTCCTTTCACCGACAATCAATTCATAATTCATCAACCCTAACTAAAGATGCAATTCCTTTTACAATAATCAGTCTCTTGCCAACAGATATCAGAAACAATTCAACACCACATACACACATACACACACGAGAGAGAGAGAGAGAGAGAGAGAGAGAGAGAGAGAGAGAGAGAGAGAGAGAGAGTAAACCTTGTCGAATTGAATCAAAACTTGAATGGCGAGCTCCGGAGTCAAAATTCCACCGGAAACCATCTGATCCAATGTTTCAGTCAAGCACATACCGATCGTCGATCTCCTGTAAAGCTCGAAAGTCGCCATTCTTTCTTCTTTTTTTTTCAGGGAAACAACAAACAAACAGTATGAAATCAAAATCAAATCAAAATCAAAATTCAGTTCTCGGAAAAAGAAAATCGAATCGAAAAGGAACGAGCATTTAAAAATTAAAACATCAAGGAAGAAATGAATTTACCCGCTCGATTTGATCGAATTCTGGCGGATTCAGATGTATATATAGGGGTTTCGTTTGTGGGTAGATATTAAGAGTGAGAGAGAGAAATGAAGAGAGAGGAGAGATAGGGTAGAGAGACAAAGATTAGGGGGCAGAAGATTTGGGGCTTTTTTTGTCGCTTATCAAAAGCAAATAAGGCCCTATCACTAGCTTTTAAGCCCGGCCCATTCACTGATTTTAATTAATCAACTTTTGGATTTTGAGTTATTTAAATACAAGATTAAAAATAAAAAAAATAAAAGAATTATTTAAATAACATTTTGTATATTTTGTTTCTTATTATCTTTTGGTCGTATTTTATTTAATTTCTGAATAAATAACATTTTGTATATTTTTGTTATGCATTTTTAGCTCAAATTATGAAAAATCCTCTTATGTTCGGGTAATTATTGTCACCCCTTAATTATGTATTATCTTACAAAAAAAACTCTTCCACAAGTAAATTTAGGAATGGTAAATCGTTAAAACCAAACCGAAATTTCGGTATGCTAACATTTCATACCGTTTACCAAACTGAATATACGATTTGATTCGCCAAATAACCTTATTACATTAATTTTATGTAAAAATATTTAAAAAGAGGGGGTTGACTGTAATTAATTAGCCAAACAAGAAAGTTTTTTTTTCTTCGTAATTTGGTCATATCTCATGAGTGACCATAATTTGCCTGTTTTTATTGTAATATATTAAAAAAAAAAAAAAAAAAAAAACAAATATTACTAACTACTGCAAGAAGTCATACGCAAAATTGCATTATTTGTCGGCAGTCCAAAATGAGCATCTGGACTTTAATTTAATTATTTTGAAAAAGAAAGATTGGACAGTCTTGCAAATATTACATACAATGAATGTGTTGCTTTATATAGATTTTATGTTTGGAAAAATAAATAAAATTTGCTTTTGAAAATATATTGACAACTTTGTATTTCTATCAAACACTTGGTGAATATTTTGCTTGATGTGTATTAATGTTTATTAATACTAGTAATTGTACCCGTGCGATGCACGGCACAACAAATTGCATGTTTTGATGTTGTAAGTATATACACAAAACATTTGATGTATTCGTATGATGAAATTTTTTATTACAATCATTCATTAATAATTCATCAGTGGAACATAGTAAACTAAGTATACTTACTACACAAAAAAAAAAAAAAAAAAAAAAAAGAGCAAATTTTAGCGACAACATATCATCGGAAAAGGCTATCTCTGCATCTTGCATCGTAACTAAGCCCTTCTCCTAACCTTCCATATATTTGTGTCAAAATCAACTTCATGCTTCCCCGACATATCGATTGCATCGACGCTTAGAACCGAAACGATTCAGACATAGTAAAATAAGACGTGGAAAATGTGACTACACTAAAAAGATAAGAGTTTTACGGAAACACATAAAACTAATGATTTGACTGAAGTATAGGAGAAGATAATGAAAAACATAGGTTAAAAAGACTAACCATCACAAGGCAAAGAGGAGAATGTAATATTTATATGGGTTGGAATCGTTTCTCCACGTTTTAAATCAAATTACATCTTCCAAGTTTTTATATCCCATATTAAGAACCATAATGACAAGCTACAGTAAGAATAAAGAAAAACTATGTAAACGAACAAAACGAACCTGATGTACATTGTACGTCGAAATATAATATGTCAGCTAGCTCGTGCATGAACAAAAATGCCATGATTGCAAGTCCAACGATAGAAACTATTATGAAACACGAAAAAGTTTTGAAGTCAGTACTGCATCCCTTACACCAATTGACTACCATCACAATGTATTGCATTGAATGTTCATACAACTGAATACATGATATATACATAGTAATACACTTAGATATTTAATAACCACAATCAAGAGACATTATAGTTCTTACCAAACTTATGATTAATGTCACAACACAAATAATTTGAAATACTAAAGCACATACATTATGTTCATCTCAGATAAAGCAAGATAGCAAGTTTTATATCTAATTGCAAGGAAACTGAAGATTAACAACAATAAATTTAAAAACTATTATACGTTGCTTCATAATAGCAAGGGATTTCCACGATAGGGTCGTCAACAACTGATTTCCTATTTGCCACTCTAAATAGAAAGCAATACATTATTCATATGTTTTTTATATTAATTATTGAAGAAACTCTTGCCAGTTTACGAAACTTCCGGAAATTGCATCATAGCCACAACGGGGGTCAAGCTGTAATTATTGAAAAAACTCTTCCCTGCTGTTAGAACTTTCGTGAATTGCAGCAACACCCACAATCTTTATCTATCTTCACATCCGACCGCCTGCTTAAAATTCTTAATTTTACGAAGCTTCTTACCCCGTTTCATTTATTATTTGTGAATCCACCAATTGAAGCATTATGAAAAGGAAAGCCTGTGCTGAATTGGGTATTAAGTCTTTCGACATCGACCTTCCGGAGGACGTATGCGAACTGTCTTGATTACCAAAGTCCACGAATTGAAAAAAAAAAGATGAAAGGGTGCAATACAAACACATGAGAAAAATACAGATGCAAATAAAATGTACAGAGGGAGTGAAAAAAAGGTGAAAGGGAGAATCCTTACCGTATCTTCTGGTTTCACTTTGCAAAATAGCTAAATATGAATGGGTTGAGAAGTTGAGAGGTCGGACATAAATATGAAGAAAAAACATAAACGTGTTGAAGTGGGAGAGAGAAGTTGAAAGTGTTGGAAGTCTTCGGGAATCCGGAAAATCGGAACAAAAAAATTGAGATGGAAAATAAATAAAAAATTACAAAAAATATGCTGGAGATAAAATAAAAAATACAAAAAAACAAAAAATACAAAAAAACAAAAAAAAAAGAGATTTTAATATTTAGAAGATTTAATTAGTTGTGCATTAGAGATTTTATGGCTGAAAATTAGTTGTGCATTAGAGATTTTAGGGCTGAAAATTAGGAGCGATGAAAATTAAAAAATAAAATTACAAATAATATGCAGGATAATTAGGAGCGAAAGTTACAAAAAAACGAAAAAGAGATTTTAATAATTAGAAGATTTAATTAATTACAAATATGCCATTAGGGTTTTTCTAGGGTTGTCCAACGTTTCTTTCTTTTATATATAAGATTTGTTAGAATACTTTAAAAGTGTTTATCGTGAATTAAATTATATATTTTTGATCCTACGTATTCACTTATTTATAAGAAGGATATAATCGTCTTAATCTCTACCAAATCCCTTCAATAAGACTATAAGAGCCTTCTAATTATACATTAACAATATTAGTAGTGATGCGGTCAACAGCATATTAACTCGAATCACCTCAAGATAATTCTTGAACCTGCAATAGATATTTAGGGACTGAAATAATCCTTCTAAATCTTCTTCAATTGGGAGAAACGAGACGTTTCTTGTGTAAAAAATACATGTTAGGGCGTCGGAGCTTCGTTCCTGTGAAAACCCTCCGATGCTTAAGTCAATCCACGTTGGACAAAATGTCAGCAAAATTTTTTGCAGTAAAATGATAATTGAATTATTTATATGTTGGAATCATTAGATTATGGGCCTGAAATATGATATCGAACCTTAGGTAATAATTGGGCTCAAATCTTATAATTATAAGATTTGGGCTTCACTATACTTTTAACCCAATTACATCAGGTAGTACAGTCTCTCGTAACTGACCTAGTGGTTGGAATAATAGAGTATGTGTCAATTGATCGTTCGAATTCTACTGTCAACTGTCGTTAGATCGAGCTTGTCACAAATGGTTACTCTAATATGATTCACGTCTCTCATATAAATTGCAAGCTATTATATGAGAATATAGCCACATTTTAAACTTTCAGACTAGGGTAATACTAAATAAAATGTCTTGAGTATGCGTACTACGAAGTCACCGCTCAGTCTGA